AAAACACGGGGTAACATTTATTCCTCTTACATAACTTGGACGAACTAACTCGAAAAGTGTGCACCCGCTTCAGAGCGGAGCAGAAACAGCTCTCTAACTCTAATCCTTACCGTAACAATAACCTTTATTTTGACCCTAACCCTAACCCTGATTCGAATACGTTCTCCAATCCTAACCCTGACCCTAATACTATCCCTAACCTTGACCCTAACCCTAACCCTAACCCTGACCTTTATATTAATCCTGCCCCTAACCCTAACCCCAATGCTATCAATTACACAATCCCTAACCTTGTCCCTAACCCTAACCCTGACTCTAGTCTTATCCCTAACCCTAACCCTAACCCCAACCCTAACCCCAACCCTAACCCTGACCTTTACCATAATCCTTATACTGACGCTCTATCTCTAACGCCTACCGTTGTAAAACATCAATGTCAGTGAGATGTCATTTTGCATTCACTTCATAATTAAAGCTCAACAACCCCATGCTCGTTAGCAATAGAATAATTGGCAGTAACCTGGCATCGTCCGTTATAGCTACGATGAGAACGGCGGCTTCTGGATTTCATCTGTCATCTGTAATCAGATTAATGATCGAGCTGCCGAAAGTAAACGACGTCTACAAGTGAGTGGCGCCATCTATCCACGGATCCTTCGTCTATTCGATCATCTTAATGCGCGGGTCTGTTCGCGCGTTTCTCTAACGAGAAAGAATTTCTGCGGCAGTTTTGTGGCGCTATAGTTGTTGTTGTTGTTGTTGTTGTTGTTGCTGTTGTTGTTGTTGTTGTTGTTGACAAGGAGCTAGCTAACACCTGCTGCTATATAGTTATACCGCTGCATAAATAAATCAATAACAGAATAACATATATAAATATAAAAATATTCTTGCATATATATATATAATATATACACACACGCGCGCACACGCTCGCAAACATGTCATTCCAGACGATGCGTTATTCCAATTAACATGAATTAATATATAATTCAGTGGTACTTTTTTATATACACTCACGACATGTGGGTCTGTATATAAGAGACATTAGACAAACGCAAACAAAAAAAATCGATAATTTAGTAGTGCCATATCTATTTTAGACGCGATATTTTTATGTGATAAATATATTTATTGATTGACCGGAAAGAAAAAGGAAACCATCTTGTATCACTTCAACTTTGAAACGAATGTGCCAAACAAAGTGATGTTCCAATTAGCATGAATTAATATCCAAATAAATGGTACCTTTTCTAAACCCTCACGATCGACACATCCCAGGTGTTGATATATTTAGGTGCTGTCCATATTTTATCCTGTCCTTAGTCTATATATGGTTATTTTATCTATACGGCAAGTTTAAACTATCCATCCTGATTTAGTCTACTGCTCATGTGAGTTACACACCCCCGAAATCTCTACACTCCCCCCAACTTCTGTTAGTATCCGCCCTCGGATACGCCTTTGTCTTCCAATTCTACTCTTACTCCCCTCAACCTTTCCTCTGCCTTCCCCTTTTCTTTCTCGACTCGCTCGTACTTCCGACTGTTTTAACTTTCCCCTTCTCAACCCTTTTCCAGGTTGCCTCCGAGCACAGACAGTGCAGTACTGGCACCATCTCTAGATATCCTTCGTGTAGTGTGGCCAGTAGAACCGTTGCTGTATGCTGGATCTACTCCGTTTCTCTCCTTGATGTCCTGCTGTACGATGGTAATGTAATTGCTGAAATATTTATCTTTGCAATTCCTTAGGTATCACCAGCGGAAGTATGGGATGAGTCGGCGTGACTGCATGGCGTCTCCCATCGTCTATACAATTTACCTTCCTGAACCTGTAATTGATTCCTGTCCCCAGTACGGTTTTGCCTCCGATCCCATTCCTGCAATTTCTGCAAACTCAGGTCTGTCCAACGCCGCTTCTTTTCGTTCCTTGAAGAAAACAATCACAGGGTCCTTATCCTGTAATCTCCTAATATTTTCTGGGTTCCATACATCATGGTCTTCCCCATGATCCTCGGGATTTTCTCTGCGATCCTCTCGCTCTCCATCGGTCACTACAAACACCTGACCACGCTGCTCCTTATCCTCACATGAAGAATCGTCTCACCTCCCATTACGACTCAGTGGTTCATCTCTCCAAGTAGAATCCTCTCGTCCCCTACTGCAGCTGGGTGGTTCATCGCTACTACCTTCCTCGTCTTCTTCCTCACGAACGTGCGTTTCCTCTTCCCCTGAGTGCATCTCCATCGCTGGTCGGGCATCCTCTCCCATCATTCCATCCCTGCTATCTGGGCAGTTCTCGTTCGGACATTTTCCTACCGTCTTACGTGAAAACGCATCCGCATTCTGGTGATGGTGTACCTTCCGGTGCTCAATTTCAAAGTCGTACGTATCTACTCTATCCAGTAGGTTCTGTAGGTGCTCAGCTAACTTTGTGGGTGCCATGCCGGCCAGAACGCTCACCAACTGCTGTCCTTGCTGTGTCTCACTCTCCTCCACTGGTTTGAGTTCCTCCACTTGTTGATCCTCCAACAACAGGGTAGGCTTTTCTCCTCTGTGGGAGATAACCAAGGGTACTTTCATCACATCCCTTGGGAGTACCGTCTGCTCCCCCCGAATCCCCTGTGCCTCCAGCTTCTGAAATTCTGGGATAGGCACGAGCCTTACATGCTTTCCTTTGGATTTCTTATCGTCAGCATAAGTCCATCTAGGGATTCTGTATCTTTTCCCTGGCCTCAGCGTCGTCTTACCGTGCGCAGATCTACACGTATCCGTATACCGCGTGTGATTCTTGATCTCTAAGCATGTAATCGTGGTGGTTGTTTACAGTCTAAAACCAGAGTTACCATTTTTATGGTGTTTTCAGGGTTTCAAGTTGATGTGTTTTACCAGTTAAAGGAATAATAGGCCCATTGATTATGCAAAGTTGACGAATGCTACAGTAACTGGCACGTTGTGTAGTTAATAAGTACATTACCTTATAGCGAAATGCGTATTAGTTTGTCCAATATCACTGCTGGTTACTAAGAAATGTCTAATTGAAATCCGCAGTCCAGGAAATCAGTTGACTGACTTGTCTACAGTTTCGAAACCGGATACGGCGAAACAGGTGTGATACAGATTTATAGTGCACCGGACATTTTTGCACGCATGCTCGGCCGTACGCAATGCTAGTGATAGTACAGTACCGTAACTGTATACGTAACAGTTATCTCTAATTGTAATGAACGTGGAATCCACGTACGAGTCACGGACGCTCGTGATAATGAAGTAGGCTGTGTTGGGGGCCAACACTATAAGGGGATCGCAGACTAACCACGTCCACAGACTAAACATGGAAAGCAGACGGCACTACGCATATTTACGTATATTGGTCAAAGGAATACACCTGTGTCTGAAATTGAAGACATGTGGGTACCCGTTCATTAGCACCCACGGTTATTTACTTGGGCATCAATACCGAGAATACACCCAAAGATACATTCTACTAGCTCATTAGTCGTTATAAGCATTCCAGGACAAACAATTCTCTGCGCAACACCCGTAGCAACATGTGACGTCACCTAACTGAATTCGAGGCTATTTTGCTTGCCAACCAATTTAGCGTTGGCGCCAGATTACCAAATTTACAGATTTCAATTAGACATTTCTTAGTAATTAGCAGTGATATTGGACAAACTAATACGCGTTTGGCTATAAGGTAATGTACTTATTAACTACAGAAGGTGCCAGTTACTGTAGCATTCGTCAACTTTGCATAATCAATGGGCCTATTATGCCTTTAAGAAGGTGCACATTGGTCGTGTTAGTATTGTAGAGTAGTACACCAGTATGTGTAGTGTGTTCATTGGTACATGTAATTGGTACATTTCATTGTAACGAGTATTGTGTTTGTTTTGGGCATTTTGGATTTTCAGAACAATTTTCTGGTTGATCAATGGTGTTTCCTAACTAAAAGGGGAGGAGGTGTCATGTACTGAGCTGGGTTTAGAGTAATTGCTGTACAGTGTTTCTTTAACTAGTGATACGCCATCTATATACGGCCATGTTAACTAGACGTAATAAATACGTTGTACATCCGGATGCTCTCGGACAATCGGACAAAAAGTGTTTTGTGTGACATCAGTCTTCTTCGTCTTCCTTCTCCCTGCATCTCGGATAGAGAACATAATACTTCCGATATCCATCGTCACTACTAAGCTGTGTTTAGAACAGGCCCGTAGCCAGGGGGGGTTCGGGGGGTTCGAACGAACCCCCCCCCCAAGCCCCTCCCCCCAAGAATTTCACCTCAGGTCGCTCCATTTTAGTGTAATAATTGCAAAATATCCATCGTGCGGGAGGGTGAACAGTGAACACCCCCCTCCCACACCCTCCCCCCGCTCGGTCGCTTGGCTCCCTCGCCTGGTCGCTTCGCGCCCGAGCAGGGGCGTGTACAGGGGGGGTCCAGGGAGTCGTCCGGACCCCCCCTTGCTCGCGCAGAAAACGCATCTGAGGGGGTGTAATTTTAAAAAATTTCTGGGGGAGGGCTCCCCATACCCCCCCTTCGCGTGCTCGTAACTATGGGTTACGGTTAGACCCCCCTGGTACAAATCCTGTACACGCCCCTGCCGAGCAAATTGCCAACATTGAAAAACGAACCCCCCCCAATAGAAAGCTGGCTACGGGCCTGTTTAGAATATCGTCCGTTTTATCTAATTTCTATTCTGCCATACTAAACCAGGTTAATACTGGCAATAGAAAAACACGGGTTAGCCACAGGTTATAATTATAAGCATCATAGGGTTTGCACAACCCAAAAGCTTTCACTCATTTATTTGTTAACCAGATTTCTGCACAAGAGGTATAAAACATGTATGCATTTACATTAAAGATGTGAAATTCAATTTAAAAATTGTAACTGCACTTTCCTATTATCTTGATCAGAAAATACCAATTTATTTACCAATTTATTTAACAACATTGTTTTAAAGTCTGAGAGAAAAAGAAGAACGGAAATGAGACAAGCAATTTATGAAAAATAATTTATTTTACAAGCAAAAAGCAGTCAGTATAGATATAATTTATTCGTAAAAACACATAATTTACGTCGAGTATGTGAATCCAAGCCATCACAGCTTGCTTAAAAACAGCTAACTTACAACCCATAGCATGCCTACTGGTATAAACAATTACAATTAGAGAAGTATCTTGTTTAACTTGTGCAGTAAAATTTTATCTGGGCTTAATATACGCAGTAAAATTTTATCTGGGCTTATAACACGCAGTAAAATTTTATCTGGACTTAACATAATTGGCAGAATTTGTAGGGAAAATCTCATGCAACATAACATATCAAGAGCCTCATCCAGGCCGGGAAGGCTTGCGTACTGTTGGGGGCGTTGGTCGGGTTACGTCACCGGTGCTGCCATCTTTGGAATGAAAATCGATCTAAGTTGTTCATTGAGCTCCGCCAATTCTGCACTCTCCTTCTCCAAGCTGCGCACAATCTGGGCAAACTTGATGATTCCTGTAGCACAGAGCAACGCAGGTGAGTGCAATCACACACTGATACGGCCTGCAAGCCTCAGCTGGACCGAGTAAATACGTAGAAATGTTTCATTATCGTTAGATTAATATCCCGATTGGTGAAAGCCAATAACAACGTGAACAATGATTGTTTTTCTCGGAGACGCACACATCGTATAAACAACCATCCCGATCCCCAGGGTATCGAAAGGGGAGGCATCTCCAGGGGCATAGCCAGGGGTGATTCCAGGCCTTCCGGAATCCCCCCTGGTTTGTATCAAAATGGCACATATCTGATACAGTATATATATAAAAGCATGAAACGAAAATTTTAACGAAGTTTTATTAGTATAATATAGTAGGTTTGGAATCCCCCTCTTGGAAGGAATCCCCCTCTTGGAAGGAATCCTCCCTCCTGGAAAGGCTGGCTATGCCCCTAATCTCCTTGTCTGAATCAGGGGAGAAGCAAGCCAGCCATCCTCGAAGTATCGGGATCAGTATCCGGAGACATCCGCCACCTCCTCCTCTTCGGAGGAGCCAACCAGCCATCCCCTGAGATATTACGGGGAGGGAGACACCCGCCACCTTCTCGGAAGAGGAGGAGCCAACCAGCCATCCCCCCCCCCCGAGGTATTACGGGAAGGGAGACACCCGCCACCTCCTCCTCCTCAGAGGAGGAGCCCTCACTCACCTTCTCCATCGGCGGGGAAGCCATAGTGCGGTATCACCTCCATCTGTATCTGCGTCGCGATGGGGAAGACCACCATCATTGTCTGCATCATGTCCGTGCCAGCGTTGTCGCGAGCTTCCTCCATCTTAGTCACGTTGTCAGGCTGCTTAAACGCCTCGAGGATGTCCACCAGGGCAGCTGCGCAACGCGAAGATACGTGAGTGAGGAGGAGGAGGATGGCCGCGAGCGCCCGCCAGCCGCACGCCACGCAAGCGCAGGCCCCCAGCGCCCCGGCACGGCCACGCGATGAGAAGCTCTGCGATGCCAGCCGCACCGCCCCCCGGCCCCACGCAGCGACCCACCACGCACCCGAGGGCCCAAGCCAGGACGGACGGCCCCCACGGCAGAGGACGCCCGCGGCCGCCCCTCGACACCACCGAGAGGAACGAGGAAGGAGGAGGAGGAGGAGGAGAGAACGAGCAGGATAGAGGAGGAGGAGGATTGAAGGATGAGGAGGAGGATGAGGAGGAGGATGAGGAGGAGGAGGAGGATGAGAACGAGGAGGAAGAGGAGGAGGATGAGGAGGAGGAGGAGGAAGAGGAGGAGGATGAGGAGGAGGAGGAGAAAGGTACGTAAGCGAGGAGGAGGGACGGATGGCGCGTCAGGAGGGCTGCTGAATTGGAAACGTACAGAGGGTTCTCCAAGCTTTTTCATTATAGAATGGGGGTGCTGCCTTTACGGTAATAGTTGCAAAATCGCCGAAGGCTTTTAACATGCTTTTAGCATGGCGGCTATGATATTTAGAGTGGCGGGTGCATTTTAGGATGGCGGGCTCGACGATAGCCTGGCGGGTCGCTGGCTGCTCTTGGAGAACCCTAGTACATGTAGGCCTATATCTATAGCATTTATTTTTACTCGCTCACGAGAAAGACGAAAGGAATCACAATAACTAAATACTCTGATACGTGATGGAGGAGGAGGAAGAGGAAGATACATGAGCAAGGAGGTGGCGGTGAGTGAGGAGGAGGGATTAAAAGTTTGCAACGAGTTGGGAGCGGTTCGTTGTTGATGGCATTAAGAAATTAGAACGTAAGTCTCTATAGCACATTTATTTTAACGGTGCACGAGAGAGATGAAAGGAATCATTATATAGATATACTCTGCTAAGGTTTTTATGACTGCGTGGGAAACGATCGTAGGAACACGAGAATTTTGGGCCGTTCTGGATGATTTGGTGCTTATAACCAGAACGCGACTATGGCGCCCTCTATCGGACGAAAGAGATTGGATATTTCGTGAGAGAAGAATGTCATGCATTTTGAATTCTCTGTGAAAAACTCGCGATGAACAGACAAACTCACATCAGAAAGATGCGCAGTACGTACTAGTTAATTACGCTATATTTCCTTCGCACGAAACGCGTGTAACTTTATCATTTAACACCTCGTAATATTTGATTAGTTAGTACTTGGCGACCGGTTGTTTTTGTTTGTGTCGCATGCTGTACGATCGGCACCACCACTGTCTCTATACAACACTACGGGAACCAAACACATAACCAGTATCCTCCTAATCTAACTGCGTACACTAGTCCGTGCCAAGCAAATTGCGAGATGGACTACGCGAGTCACCTTTTGCCTGCTCTGCGGTGAATATTGGCGTTGTAGATTCGTCGGTGTGGTCAGCCATTGTGTTTGATGCTAGCTGGTGTGCGAATGTGTGAACAGCACTGCCTCCCCACCGGCTGTTGGACGGTGCTGCCCTCGTGTGGCGGAGTCGTGCGACAGCGCCACGTTGGAGTGAATTAAAGGTGGTTTTTTCTTGAATCGTGCAGAAAAAAACATTCATTCTTACAAAAGTTAATGATAAGGTTGTCCGTATATTCGCCTAGAGGTACATGACGTCATGTGCAAAATAATTGATCGGGTTTATATGTATACCCAGCTTTTTACGTAGGAAGTACAAGTTCGGGGAAACGCAAGTTAATTCTAAACGGCACATTTCATTAGATTGATCGTTAGTTCCTACCTAGACCGAATAATTCTGTCCCATATAACCTTTTTTATATCTTGGTGAGGGTTATTGGGACAGAACGGGGTTCAATGAAATTTTGTGAGATCGCATGCAAAATGCATGCGCTGCGAATGCGGCCCGTACGCCGCTATTGGCGCGAAAAAAAACCTACCGTTCCCTTCTACATGGCTTTACCTTGCTACTGATATGTGTATACAGTCACTTCAATGGTTATTCACTTCTTAAAAGATTGTTTTTCAGAAACCCCGCTTCATTTAACTTTAGTAAATTACGTTCGCCATTTACAAACAATCAGACCAATCAGAGCAAGTCTTACAATAGCCCCTGGTTCTCGCTTGTATCTGTGGCGCTGCAGGAGGGCTGATAGACTCGCTCTGATTGGTCTGATTGTTTGTAAATGGCGAACGTAATTTACTAAAGTTAAATGAAGCGGGGTTTCTGAAAAACAATCTTTTAAGAAGAGAATAACCATTGAAGTGACTGTATACACATATCAGTAGCAAGGTAAAGCCATGTAGAAGAGAACGGTAGGTTTTTTTTCGCGCCAATAGCGGCGTACGGGCCGCATTAGCAGCACATGCATTTTGCACGCGATCTCACAAAATTTCAATGAACCCCGTTCTGTCCCAATAGCCCTCACCAAAATATAAAAAAGGTTATATGGGACAGAATTATTCGGTCTAGTTCCTACCATGCACATCTACTACTCCTGTCTCGTGACAAGACACTTAACTCTGATTGTGTTAGTGTATGAAATTAGGATCCCAGAATGTTTTGTCGTGCAGAAATTTCTAAAATGATGTAAATTACAGATTTTTAAAGATGAATGAAAGATAATTTTGGACCCCAGATTACAGCAGCGAACGAGCTTGGCACTCGCCCGCTCGCCAATGTTGAGTGAAAATAATATCGGGCGAGTAAATGCTAAAGCTGACTCGCCCATGTTGGCGAGTAAAAATAATTGTCTAAAACTTTAATCAAATGTTGGTTCCTTTCGTTATAATATCCAAACATTGGTGAAATACAGTTGTAGCGATTGTGAAGGGCGGCTACCACACGACATCCTCACTTTATATTATCAAAGGTCGCCGAAAAAAGCAGCCCGCGAAAGCGTGCAGCCCCAGCACAGCGTGGCTGTGTATACCTGCCTGGGGCAGCATATCGATTGATGCACGTGTGGGGGGGGGGAGTGCAGGATTGTTTAAAAGTCACGTTGGGCACGTTCATTATAGGGGGGTGGGCACCGCTAGGATCAGAGGAGGACAGCAAAATTCTTTCCTGGAATTGATGAAAAAGCTGCAATCGGGAATGACACGCAATGATCGTGCCGGCACGCAAAAATACACGTTGTGTGAATTTCATTACGATTTTCCATGTATAATAATATTGTAATATCAGGAGTGTATAATATCGATATATATCTCTATATCTTATATATAGATCTATCTATCTATATATATCTATCTGTCTATATATATATATTTATCTGATCTGAAAATAATTAAGCGTCGAGGCCGTGTTAGCTATTCAGTTGGCAGATAGGTTAACTTTTAACCACATTACTTTGCCTTAGCATTGTACTTGCACAAATACAGTGACAGAGACTGAGCAGTTCAACTCTCAGCAATTTGAAGTTCATGTTTCTCTTTTTTTAAGTAAGTATTTTAGTCTTTGGTGTCCCCCAAAGATTAAAATACTCAACTCAAAAGTGATATTTTTGTGATGAAGATTGTTTAAAAATGCTGCCTCAGAGTGCAGGAAATTGCATCTAAGAGCTAGGTGTAATTTTACAAAAAAAAATCCCGGGGGAGGGCCCCCTGACCCCCCTTATCAGGGTCCACTTCCTGAACCAACCCTCTCGCAGCTTTGCTGTTCGTGTGCAGCCTGCGGCAGCAGACAGTCGCTTACTTTCTTGGTTTACCCTGCTACTTGTGACAAGCCTGGTATGCCTAATAAACACAAAGCTAATACTTGTATTAATCATGGAATAAATTGAACACAATTAAGGGCCTGTTCAAACTTGTAAGGGCCTAGCTGTTGCATTTGTCTAAGGGCCTGCTAAAATTTTGGGTGGGCCTGTTCACATTTTGGCTAATTTCTTGCCCTGTACGCATCGAGGGTAGTGTAGCGACGGCGCTACTACTGGCTCGCCTTGGTGTTAACAAGTCAATAAAATTGGCGTAACGTGGCGTTTCATTGATGGGGCAAAGCAGCCCGAGAATAAAAGTAAATAAAATGAAAATGAAAACACGAACTTTCAGAGGAGAGTTTTTCTTTGAGTTTTTGAGAAACGTGATCAATGAATTACATGTGTAGTTAAATCAATGGTGTTTTTGTGTTTTTTCACTATTGTTTGACAAGCATTTTTGTTTTAAAATTTGAGCGAGTATAGTTTCCGTTTGGGCGAGTTAACTTATTGACTCACTTGCCCAGTTTGGCGAGTGGTTTTTCTTTTAAAGCTCTAACACTGATTACAGTATGCCACAGAATAATCACCTTGAGATAAAAACTATCAGCTTGAAGAGGTAACGTGCCGTCCTCTCAAAGAAATGTTTTTACCGACGGTGCGACCTATGCAATTTTTATTGAGGAATCGGTTGGGAAGCAGCATGGAGCCTTGCTCACGCACACACGCACGCACGCACGCATGAGCACAAGCTAGGTCACACCCCATGGCTAGCTATAGCGTTCCCTATATAGCTATCCCTGCGTTATATTATCCACGTAACCGTGGGCTACGCAGAAAACGATCCAGATTCAGATCCAGGTGACGCATCCCGGTCATCTAATGTCGCCCACTCCTCCAACCCTCCATCGCTTCCATCCGCTCCATTCCAATTCCTCCCCCCTCTCTACCACCTCTCCCTCCACTCCTCCAACCCTCCACAATTCCACCCTACTAACTTTCATTCCCACCACCCCTACCACCCACCTACCCTCCACCCATGCCTGCCCCACCCACACCACTCCTGCCTCCCAACACCCCTCCACCCATCACCCCTGCATTCCCCCACCCTGCCTGCCCCC